GGTCACACAACATCTAAAACCATTAATAAGTTCTAAAGAAAGTCTTGGAAAACTTGACAAGATACCTTTAAATTTAGAATCCATCACCCTGTCCTCGGTCCAATTGATCCCAGGATTGATGCAACCAAGGTGCCTCATATGTCATTGTTGGGTCACCCACAGAGTTTAATTTAGAAAGTGCTAGATAGGTTTCTTTTCAGACTAATTACCACAATGGACCTTATGGGGCAGTGTGTGTTGACCAGATAACACGCATTTCGATGCCTCAAATGTTAGCTCGGTTCCTGGATATAGTTAACCTGCTGATTCCAAAAATGACACTGGTTTTCCTCTATCCACTCAAGTTTTTGAGACATAGAACATATGCCATCTACCAGTCACTCATAGAAAACCATGATGACCATATCTAAGAAACCAGAGCTGAAAAGGTCCATCCAACACAATTTTCTTAATCAGTGCTCTAAATAACCCCAGGGACAGGCCACAACAACCAAGACACCAAGAGAAAGAAAATTGTTGGGTGGTACAATCCATTTTCCTTCTCACAATACGAGCTGCGGTGGCACAATGGGTTAAATACTTGTGCCAGCTGAACTGTTGACCTGAAGGTTGGCGGTTCAAATCCATGAGATAGGGTGAGCTCTCATCTGTCAGCTCCACCTTCCCATGTGGGGACATGAGAGAAACCTCCCACAAGGATGGTAACACATCTGGGCGTCCCTTGGGCAACGTTTTTGCAGATGGCCAATTCTCAAGTCACTAATGACACAATTAAAAAATGGGATGAATGCCTCAACCATCAGCCTGCAAAGTAATGCCATGTTTCTCTTCCAAGACCAATCCCAACACAAACAACAGTAAATGCAACATAAAGAAGTGAGAAGGAAATGCTGTGCTAAACAGACATCTTCCAACCCTTGAGGAGCAATTTTTAAGTGGATGGAGTACATCTGGCCTTTCTGGACTACAAGTCACATCAACCCCAGGCAGCATTGGTAAGTGATGCTGAGACTAGGAACTGAAACCCAATGTCTGAAAGAGCCAACATAGCTCTACTTGAAGTACCCAAAATCAACAGCTGAGGAAACTTATGTGTTTGTATTTCCAGGGATAGGAATCCAACAGGCTTCCATATATTTTTGAACTGCAACTGGATCCTCCAATACCTGAAGGACCACACCATTTTCAATACAGCCCTTGGATGCTAAGTTTGAGGTGCTCCTGGCCAACCTTTCTTTGGGATCCTTGCCCAGGACTGGACGAAATTCCTTTTGGACTCCACCTCCCAGCATCCCCCAGCCAGCATGACTAGTACCCATGCTCTGTCCTTGCCCTTCCACCCACCTCCCCACAATATTACAACTGCAAGTTGACCCAAGTTACACAGTTCTCCCAGTTTCCAAACAGGACGAAGATAATAATAATAATAATAATGATATGCGTATTACACCGGCCTATACATTGAAAGCATGTGCCTCGGTACTATTTATAACTTTCTTTTTTTTTCTCCCCAAAAAAACCACAGGAGGAAATAAAATCTTACTATTTACAATATATAACAAGAGAGAGCAATTAATATTTGCAATAACATAAATACCGTCTTAAATACTCACAGAAACCCCACCCGGCTTCAGTGCGTGAATTATTATTACACAAAGAAGAGCTTCATTTTCCCCACTCAGTAGTTCATTCGCTTCTTTGCCTCTCGTCTCAAAGGCTACAAGCCCAGGCGGGCTCCCACTGGGTCCAGGGAGAGCAGGAGGCCATCCACACCAGACCGTTATAGCGCTATGAATCCACTTCAACCTAGGACATGCCTTGAGAGGACACCTCTCTAGACACTTTCTAGTCCTCCAGAGTTACTATATTGTATGCTTCCACTAGAAACAATCAAAGAGTTGTTCTGGAGAGCCTAGAAAATGCTTAGAGACAACACCTTCTAGACATCTTCTAGGTCAGTGGTTCTCAACCTGTGGGTCCCCAAGTGTTTTGGCCTACAACTCCCAGAAATCCCAGCCAGTTTACCAGCTGTTAGGTTTTCTGGGAGTTGAAGACCGAAATATCTGGGGACCCACAGGTTGAGAACCACTGAACTAGATGTTAGCAGGCACAAGGGTTTAATCCAGTGGTTCTCAACCTGTGGGTCCCCAGGTGTTTTGGCCTACAACTCCCAGAAATCCCAGCCAGTTTACCAGCTGTTAGGATTTCTGGGAGTTGAAGGCCAAAACATCTGGGGACCCACAGGTTGAGAACCACTGTTCTAGGTCCTCCAAGTGCAACTCAATGGTAACTTCACAAAGAAGTCGTTCTTTCAATAGAGTTTTTTATCATCTACAACAGTGGTTCTCAACCTTGGGTCCCCAGATGTTTTTGGCCTACAACTCCCAGAAATCCCAGCCAGTTTACCAGCTGTTAGGATTTCTGGGAATTGTAGGCCAAAAACATCTGGGGACCTCAGGTTGAGAACCACTGATCTACAATTTCCTGCTTCAACTGTGAGTCTAGAGCAGTCGTGGGCAAACTTGGGCCCTCCAGGTGTTTTGGACCTCAACTCCCACAATTCCTAACAGCCTACCGATTATTTGGAATTGTGGGAGTTGGAGTCCAAAACATCTGGAGGGAGTATCTCAGGACTGTAAAAACAAAGGACGTAGCCCCTAGGGCAGTGGTTCTCAACCTATGGGTCCCCAGATGTTTTGGCCTTCAACTCCCAGAAATCCTAACAGCTGGTAAACTGGCTGGAATTTCTGGGAGTTGTAGGCCAAAACACCTGAGGACCCACAGGTTGAGAACCACTGCTCTAGGGCCTTATCAAGCTGCAAACTTGCTGGCTTCCATAGAAGGGAACCATGAGAGTTCCAAGTGGAATGTTAACGCCATAACAGTGTCATGTGAACGGAGCACAGCTGCTGAGCAACCATGTGCTGGACCACCTATGCAACATCCTCTCCGTGAGGCCACTTCTTCTCCCCGCATAGAGTTGCACACAATGCTTGACCAAAACAGGTGAGTGCAGGAGACCTACACAGCATGGACAACACTCCCAGAAGTGAGCAAAAGAGGTGAGTGCAGGACACCTACACAGCTTGGACAACACTCCCAGAAGTGAGCAAAACAGGTGTGTGCAGGAGACCTACACAGCTTGGATGACATTCCCAGAAGAGTCAGAGCTTTGAAAAGTTGAACAAGTCCCCCAACTGCGTGCTAAGAACTCACTTTCAATGTCAACTCAAGCACAGTTCTATTGTGTAAGTCTTCACTACACCAAGCATGAGCAAACGTCGTCCCTCCAGATGTTTTGGACTTCAACTCCCACAATTCTTAAAGACAGTAAACTGTTAGGACATGTGGGAATTGAAGTCCAAAACATCTGGAGGGCCAAAGTTTGTCCGTGCCTGATTGACATTGTACAATGGATGAAGTTTGAACCACTTTAACTGCCATAGATCAATACTATCGAATTATGGGAGTTGTAGTTTGGTCAGGAAACAGCACTGTTTAACAGAGAAGGCTACAATTATACCTCTGATTAATAGTTTCGATCTTTATCCGTGCCCTGCTCACCCGACCAACTCGATAGATATCTTGAGCAATGATTAATCAATTTGCCCCAAAGAAATGGGAAATTATTGTCTTATGTCTGTTATAACAGGCTGTGCTTTTTATTTAATTTTAATTTGTTGAGTTAATAATTCATATTAATATGTTGGGTTGTATAAATTTTGTTATTATGGATGTATTGTTGTTGTATTTGGGCATTGAATGTTTGACTTTTATGGGTTGTTGTAGGTTTTTTCGGGCTATATGGCCATGTTCTAGTGGCATTTCTCCTGATGTTTCACCTGCATCTATGGCAAGCATCCTCAGAGGTAGTGAGGTCTATTGGAACTAGGAAAAAGGGTTTATATATCTGTGAAATTACTAGGGTGGGACAAAGGACTCTTGTCTGCTGGAGCTAGGTGTGAATGTTTCAACTGACCACCTTGATTAGCATTTGATGGCCTGGCAGTGCCTTGAGCAATCTTTTGTTGAGAGGTGATTAGATGTCCTTGTTTGTTTCCTCTCTGTTGTTGTGCCGTTGTAATTTTAGAGTTTTTTAATACTGGTAAAATTACAACAGCACAACAATAGAGAGGAAACAAACAAGGACATCTAATCACCTCTCAACAAAAGATTGCTCCAGGCACTGCCAGGCCATCAAATGCTATTTTATTATTATTATTATTGCAGAACTACAACTCCCAGGATTCCATAGTGTGGGCCATAGCAATGAAAGCGGTGTCAAGCTACAGTAATTCTACATTGTACATTAATTCTAGGCGACACAAACGCAAGATCATACATATCCACTCGAAATATTTAGACTTGGAAACACTGACTAGGAATAGGGGAAGACTATTTGAAAATTATATATATATATATATAAAATCTTGAATATCAAATAATCCTGATGCAAAGGATTCTGGGATGGTGTGACAATTTCTCATTCTGTAAGAAATGTATATATTTCTTATATGCTTCTGGAACATGGCCATATAGCCCGAAAAACCTACAGCAACCCACTGTATATATTTTGGGTTGTTGTAGGTTTTTTTGGGCTATATGGCCATGTTCTAGAGGCATTCTCTCCTGAGGTTTCGCCTGCATCTATGGCAAGCATCCTCAGAGGTAGTGAGGTCTGTTGGAACTAGGAAAATTGGGTTTATATATATGTGGAATGACCAGGGTGGGACAAAGGACTCTTGTCTGCTGGAGCTAGCTCCAGCTCCAGCACCTAGCTCCAGCAGACGACAGTCCTTTGTCCCACTCTGGTCATTCCACAGATATATAAACCCTTTTTCCTAGTTCCAACAGACCTCACTACCTCTGAGGATGCTTGCCATAGATGCAGGCAAAACGTCAGGAGAGAATGCCTCTAGACCATGGCCATATAGGCCAGAAAAACCTACAACAACCCAGTGATTCCGGCAATGAAAGCCTTCAACAATACATTGTACATATTTTGTTTGGGGAGTTTTTTGGCACATAAAATAGCTTTGTATCCACACACAAAAAGTATGGTTGAGATATTCATATATTAAAACAACGTATTATTCATTCCCTGTGCAGAAAATGTTAGGCCTTTTGGGGGGACAAAAGCCGGTGTGCAAGCAAAACTGGGGGAGAGAGAAGCCGACGCTCAGGAGAGGACTGAACACAATACCACATTGAAACCATAAGAAGGTCCTTCTGAAAGACTTAATAAATAACTGTTCAATATTTATATTTAGGCACATATATATATATGTATAAGTATTCACACTGAATAATATGCTTGCAATCAGTCTTAAAGGCTACACTTAAAGAATATCATTTGCACATCACTTCAGGACTGTCTTTTGAGTGGAAGGTGACAGTTCGGGTGCAAAATGGTGCAGAGCCACCGGGACGGAGAGAACACCAATTCCTGAAGGTCTCAAAGAGTTGCCCAAGAGTTAGATCTTCCACATCTACAGGATCTTGGACTAACAAATGGAAGGACGGAGTACTCTTCCTCCTTTTCCTCCTTCCCCAATAATAACAATGGGGTTGGTGATTCCAAAGACGAAGACCATGAGCTCCCGGTACATGTGCAATAATATAGCTTGGATACAAGTGGCTACTTTATTATTATTATTATCATTATTATTATTTGAAAGAAGCTCCAAGAAAGAGAGAGAACATCCTCAAAGGATTGGACAAGTACGCCCCAAGCCTCCGTTTCGCAGGGAAAAGCAAGTCTATTGGGTTAAACTAGAGGAATTGCCACTACAGGAGAATCAGAAGGTGCTCACAGCCAATGGGACTCCCGACACAAGACTCTGCGCCGCGAGGTTCGCCCGCTGATGCTTCTGATCCAAAGTAGTATTGTTGAAGGAAAGTTGTCGCAGCCCCGTCGCAAATTGTAACATCCCCATTGTAACAGACCAAGGAATGTCGAGTAGCCCACAGCCATCGTTTCAATCATTTTTGGTCATTTCTGGTTTATTCTTCTCCCATTCCTGGTCATTCGTGGCCTCCAAAATGTTTGCACTGCTCTTGGTTCTCCTTGTCTCCAATATGCACGCCCATAGTGGTTTTCAAGAGAGTTAAAGGCACACACGGAGCTCCGGGTGGTTACTACCAGTGCTGCTGATAGACGGAGGAATCGTAGGAGGCAACCTGTCGTCTCCTCAAATGGCTTACAAATCAAGGCAAAGTTGAAGCAAGGTCCTTAAGGCAATGGGATGTTTTCCCCCAGAAGGTGACTTATCTAACCATCATTCCAGAAACCAGGAATTACGGCCCATATTAAGGATTCAAAGCAGCTATCATAAGGCGACTTGGAAGTGACACAAGGTAAGGAAACCAGACGATCCGAAGAGGCAGAAATGTACAAGAAGGCCTCTAGTGGTATGACTCATTGGCAAGGTAGACGATGAAGGTGGCGAGTGAACAAGTGGATTCTGAGGGAGCGTGTCAATGAAAGGGAGCAATTTGAAAGGCAGGATGAGTCCCTTGGGAAGGGATCCTCACAATGTCCGGTGCAAAGTGCGGGTGGCTTTAGCCACCAAGTCTCTCCAAAGGACCACAATGCTCCCCCTGCTTTCAAAGCAGGCTTCGTTTCCACTTCTGGAGACTCAACAAAGAAGACATCCCTTCCCAATTTCAGTTCATGTGTGAGAAGGGGCCAAAAAAGAACTCAATTGCCCCCATTCCTTATGCCGCTTCTTTAAAATTGTATTCTCCATTGGAACATTTGCTTTAGTTATTTATGGAGGTATCTCAGTCAGCTGTGGAACAAAGAGGACCAAAATGAAATCAAAGTCACAACTTTGACTCTTGAGCAGGATGCCTTCATTCAGCTCAGAGAGTTTTTGTGAACCATGTGAGATGAGAAAGGGACAAAGACAGAAACGGATCCCATCCAGTCAAGGTGAACAGTTTTGCTGATGCTTTGGTGATAACCTCCAAAACTAATGTCCCCTTATAGGTGAAAGGCACTTTGATCCATCTTCTTGGGCTGCTGAAATCAGTTGGACTGGTACAAAAAAGGAGGGAAGGTCACAGAAAACCATACAGTTGGTTACCACTACCCAAAAAAAGTGCTTGCATCATCTTGGAGCATTCGGTCCACCATTTCCACCACCCAAAAATCTGCCAAGACCCTGTTTCGCCTCCATGGATGGTCATCTCCTGGTGGTGTTTCCCATCGTTGTAGGATATCTACTAGATGATACCACAGACCTGTCAGTCTTTGCACGTATAGACCTCCTCCCTCTGCGTGCATTGCTTGCACTCCACGTAACAGCACCAGCGGACCTGGCACTGGCACGGCCGGGTCACCACGCGGCTTTGGGTGTTGTGGCCCCGGCCACAGCAGATGCTCTCACAGTTCTTATCTTTGTAACATTTCCTGCCCCATGTGCCGGGCGAATACCGGCTCATCAGGCAAAAGCTCGGGGAGTCGTCAATATAGACCAGGTCTGTAGTCCTCGGGATTTGGTCGCCGTGGCCCTGGATGGATTTCTTGGGTGGAGAGATGTCTCCCTCGCCTGTGGCTTCGTTGGTGGTGCTGCCCACTTTGAGCGCTGTCTCATACTTCTGCTTCAGCTGCTTGCCGATCTCGTGGAACGGAGAGAGCTGCCGCCAGCAGGTCCGGACGGTGCAGGATCCCGACACGCCGTGGCATTTGCAGGTGGTCTCAACCCCAGCTTTGATGACCTGTGGAGAAGGGACCAAAGTTAGAATTACACCCCTGGATTTCCAACATCATTCAATCATAGTCTCAATGGTGTCTGAATGTGGACTATATGCCTCTTCTGAGCTTCATTGTTGTGTGTCCCCAAGACATTTCTGACTTGTGGCAAACCCAAAGCAAAGCCATCACAGAGCCTTTGTGATCAAGAGGGTTGCCACTGCTTTCCTCTGAGTTTGACAGAGGCAGCAATCAAGGGGGATCAAACTAGTATAACTGTGCAATGTGGACAAAATGCTGCTTATATCTCACAGGGATTTTGTGGGTTACACATGGTTTTGCCTCTCCATTTCTCAAAATAATAATAATAATAATAATAATAATAATAATAATAATACCTTATTTATATTCTGCCCTCTCTCCCCAGAGGACTCAAGAGTTTCTACAAGTTACAACTTCCTACAGTAGGCAAACATATAAATCACTACCTATCTATATTAGGCATGGGCAAACTTGGGTCCTCCAGGTGTTTTGGGCTTCAGCTCCCACAATTCCTAACCAATTAACCAATCTTCTGACTACCTCACTCAGTGTATTGCCGAAGGCTTTCATGGCCGGAATCACTGGGTTGTTGTAGGTTTTTTCGGGCTATATGGCCATGTTCTAGAGGCATTCTCTCCTGACATTTCGCCTGCATCTATGGCAAGCATCCTCAGAGGTTGTGAGATCTGTTGGAACTAGGAAATTTGGTTTATACATCTGTGGAATGACCAGGGTGGGACAAAGAACTCTTGTCTGCTGGAGCTAGGTGTGAATGTTCAACTGACCACCTTGATTAGCATTTGATGGCCTGGCAGTTGTTTGGTGTGGCTTGTTAGTGCCTGGGGCAATCTTTTGTTGAGAGGTGATTAGCTATCCCTGATTATTTCCTCACTCAGACTTAAAGAACCTCACAACACCCAGTTTCTATTGACTGTGTATACTCATAAGTCCAGACATTTTAGTTTTTTTAAAAAAAAATCAACCTCAAAAAAACGAGTTGACTTATCCATGGATCATATCAAAATCCATAACTTTGGCCCCCAAACCTTCCCTCAATTTACACATGAGTTTGACTTATACACAAGTATCTACAGTAACCAAAGAGAATAAATTGGCACCAATTGAGATTGTATTTTCAAAACCCACAGAAACCCACAAGGTGACCTTGGCAAGTCTCCATAATGAAGCGTTTTCTGGATGGATCTGCACCTGACAGATGCTAAAACTCATTAATACTTTGCAAAGGGAGAGGGCAGGGAGAACATGCAGTGACCTCAGCATATGCTAATCTTTCCTTATTGCTTTCTTACATGCAAAGAGGAATACTTGCTCCCCATTGGGAAAGATTATGTGAGGGAGGGTACATTACTTCATGGCTTGTTGAAGGCTTTAATGGCCGGAATCACTGGGTTGTTGTAGGTTTTTTGGCTTGTATGGCCATGTTCTAGAAGCATTCTCTCCTGACGTTTTGCCTGCATCTGTAGCAAGCATCCTCACAACCTCTGAGGATGCTTGCCATAGATGCAGGCGAAACATCAGGAGAGAATGCTTCTAGAACATGGCCATATAGCCCGAAAAAACTACAATTCTATTGCTTTTCACACTGTAAACAATCATTTCAACCAAAAGTTATTTTTCTGTGAGGAAAAAACCATCCTGTTTTTGTACAAAAACACACTCGTACAGAATACATGTTTGTATCTGCAAAACCAAAATTAATTATTTTTTCACAAGCAAGTCCCACAATTCAAAAATCTTACAGTGGTTGCACTTCTTTTCCAGTGGGGAAGAAAATTAGGAAGTAGTCTTAATTTCCTACCTCCAAGTAGCTTGTTGGCTCAAAAATGGAAAAATGGGCAGGGTAGTTCTGACCATGCATCTAAATATAGTAAGATCTCTACATTCTGGCTCAACAGCAGTACGTGTGAAAAAGTATGTGTGAAAAAGATCTTGGAGTCCTCATGGACAACAACTTAAACATGAGCCAACAATGTGATGCAGCAGCTTTAAAAAGCCAATGGGATTTTGGCCTGCATCAATAGGAGTCTAGTGTTTAGATCCAGGGAAGTCATCTGGTTGTTTCCACCCACAGTTCCCCTCAAAATACCCCTCTATTCGGTTTGATCAGATCACACCTGGAATACTGTGTCCAAACTTGGCTTTGCCGATGTGCCTTTGGACAGTGACCACTCAACCCATCTGGTTGTTTCCACCCACAGTTCCCCTCAAAATAAAGCACCTTCCCCTGTCGCCTATAAAGGCCAACTTCCATTGCTCTCCCCTCTTTTCTCCTCTCTTAGCAAGCCTCACAAATGCTGATTTGCTATCAATACATGTTTGATTTTTTTATACCTATTTTATATAGCGATAGACCTGGGGTCATGAAAAGATTTCTCAGGCAGAAAGAGGTCATGGTATTGTCGAAGGCTTTCATGGCCAGAATCACTGGGTTGTTGTAGGTTTTTCCGGGCTATATAGCCATGTTTTAGAGGCATTCTCTCCTGACGTTTTGCCTGCATCTATGGCAAGCATCCTCAAAGGCATGCAACCTCACTACCTCTGAGGAAGCTTGCCATAAATGCAGGCGAAACATCAGGAGAGAATGCCTCTAGAATGTGGCCATATAGCCTGAAAAAACAACAACCCAATGAGTCTGGTGTTTTTCAACTTTGCGCCTTCAAGAAGAACTTGCAAGGTCGAAGCAGCTAAGACAAGAATGGTGATTTAGCTTTCTCGACACAGCTAGTGTTCCTGGATGTTATTGGGCTTCAACTCTCAGCAGTTGTCAAGCATCATTTACAACGAGGGATGCTTGGAATGGGAGACCAAATGTTTGTGGATCCAGGTTTGGAAAACACATCAGTGAAGGCCTCCCAAACTTCCAGAAAAAGTGCTTTTATATGGAGATGATAGGTACCGAACCTAGGACTCTTGGCACACAAAGAAGATGCTCTACCACCAAACCTCCTGCAGCTAACCCGAAATGCATGCAAACAAGTCAAGCTCTTCTGACTCATTGGTCCAAGTCATTGTTTGGTCAACATTCAACGTTGAAGTTCTTGCTTTCCAGAGGGAAAACCCAAGAGCTTAAAAGGGATATGCCAGCCGCGAACACGATTCTACCCTGGGCAACGGCCTCTGCTTTCATGGCATCTACTCCAACTTGTAAGACAGGCTTGGTCAGACATCGTTCAATGGGGGTGAGATGAAGGGGCCGGCCCTTTGGGGGATTAAGGAACTTAGCAACGCTCCGGAGAGATGTAGTCGGAAAGTCATGCTTAATGATACTTTGAGAAAAATAGGCAAGCGGAGGGGTGGGTGGGGGAGAGATTTAATTAAAGACTCAGTTAACTCGGGCTTGGTGGAACAAATCAAGTGGGCTAATGCTCTTGACTTTTCATTAAGGGGATACCAAGGGAGAGCTGCTACCGAGGGGAGAATTATTGAGGGGGGGGGGGTTCTATTAGACCGAGACAAGGGCAGTCCATTGCCCTAGCAGAGCAACACCCCCCCCCCTCCAATTTAATATATATGGAGAAAAGGGATTAAAGAATGCATACAAACGGTGCCAAGCATGGTGGGAAAATTTGGACACATAAAGGGGCCCCATCAAAGAATGCGGAGGTTTTGCACACTCCAGGACTTTCGGGATGAAAATTTCACAAAGGTTTATATGTTTGGCTTTTTAAACACACACACACACACACACACACACACATGACTTTTTTTCCATAAACCAATTCAGATTTTTGCATACAAACTCTATGAAATTTTCACAAACAGTTTAGAAATGCAAAGAACAAGTATTTTTTAATTGGCAAAAGCTCTCATGATGTTACCTGGCAAGGAGAAAACTCTTTTATAGCAAAATGCATGGCTCTTCAAATCCCATTATATATATGTATCAGTGGTTGACAACCTTTTTTTTTTTTATCAGTGACCACTTTTACCAGGGCCTACTCTCCAAAATCAATACCAAAAGGATTACAAATCAGTTTTTGGTCAACTTTAGATACGGTTTGGTTATTTGGGGTGCTGATTCAGAAAATTATACTGGATAGACCACATAAGCTCTAGTGTCTGATACAGAACATATGCCATCCAGTAGTCACCATCTGCTCACACACAGAAGACAATATTTAATAATAATAATAATAATAATAATAATAATAATAATAATAATAATACTTTATTTATATTCTGCTCTATCTCCCCGAAGGGACTCAGGTTGGATTCCAAACATAAAAGGCAAACATTTGATGCCTGAATACAACAACAATACATCAATAATAATAAAGTTTAAACAACCCATAAGCCTCAGCACTATAAGACAGTTTCACGAGACCAGTCGCTCTTGTTGCACCAGTGAGGCTGTGGATCATACTTTAGTTCTTGTGGACCACTGACGGGCCATGGACCACAGGTTGGGAACCACTGATATATATCACTTCCAAGTCTATGATTTTATGATTCTTTTCTATGTCAGTGTATGATTTATGTATGATGTATGTTTAAATGCAATTTTATGTGATAGGATTGTGATTGTAATAGATTGTAATAGAATTGTATTGCCAGGATGTAGTTTGACACAGAAGGGTTAAAACAGCAAAGCAGCAAGCTGTGAGAGTATGTGACCCTGAGTTCTTGCTGTGTGAAAGATTAGGGAGTGCCTGAGATAAAACTCCCTTCCAGCTGCAGTTTGCTTTGTTCCTATCTCTTTCGGTTTGTGCTCTTCACGTCTGTCTGCTGATGGTGTATGTTGTATATTTTGAGCTGCTTTAGTAAAGCTGAAACCTGCTTTTACCGGGAGACTCCAGAGTCCATTATTCTGAGCTTCTGCGATACTCTGCTACACGCCAACATTCTATAATATATATGCTGCCTCTTATGCAAAATAGCAAACACAATCTTTGTTTTTTTAGATGTTTTAAAAAGATGCAGGATCTACTGAAACGGAGGGGTGACTGTACCTTTACTTCTTACA